ACAAAGCCCTTAATGCACTCCACTTTCATCTAAAGAACTAGGGTCAAATTCTTGATAAATTTGGTTGGATGGTGAAATTTGTATAGTGTTGGTTGTGTCTTTGGAGAGAGGGGAGAGAAAAGAGAGTTGAGAGAGAGAGAGAGAGAGAGAGAGTGATGAGAAATGATAGGGAAGAGATCATCTAAAAGAGGGAGAGAACATGAAAAACGAGGCAAACCACATAAGGCTTCACTTGCGGAGGTCCTTTCCACACCCTTCCACCGCACGTGCAATTTACTGCAAAAGGATTTCAATTGTTGTCCCTCTTCACCACACGTGTGGGCATGCCCACTGCACATGCGGAGGCCCCTCGCCGCATGTGCAGAGCTCCTTTCCAGAACCCACAAACTTACTGCACTAAATTGCACGTGAAGGCCCTATTTGTCGTACATGCGGGAAGGCTTGAGTGGCTAAAACTTCCCCAAGGCATTCCCACACTTTCGTTTTGTCCTTAGGCCTGAAACTCAAAATTTCTCACTCGTAAAACATTAAGAAGGACTAGACACGGTTCGATTCGCAATCACAATAACGTTACGTAACGTACAAGGCTCTAAAAACAAAACAATAAGTCCAAATAGACACAATCAAGTCGGGTCAAAGACTCAAGACATCACAAGTCCCAAATCAAATATTAAAACCCTAATATCTGCAGAATGAACCTGAATCTGAACGGTGGGAGGGACATGTACGAGAGCTCCGGCGTGAGACAACTGCTGGACGGTGGGACAGCTCTGGTGTGGGAGGGAGATCGCGGGTTGTCTTTCTTCTCTTTCTTTCATCTATTTCTCTCTCTCTCTCTTTATTCTTCTCTTTCGTTGCTGCTATAGCTATACTACTTTTATTTTGACCTTAAGTGTTGGGCAAAAAAAAGTGGGTCAAACCAAACCAAACCAAACCGTAAGTCCCATCAAATAGGGTCGGCTATATGAATCCTTCTTCTCTACGCGGCCCTATCAAAAGCCATTTCGTTAGTCAAATTAAGTAGATCCATATCTCTATTTACAATGTTAGCCAACGTTAATCTAGGCCTACTCCGTCCCCTAACACTCCTTTCTACCGTTACAATATCGCATCTCTTCACTACTCGTACCATCTCAATCGATTCTCGCTCAACTTATTTTCTATCGGTGCTACTCGTACCCATTCTGAATACACTCATTTCTAATTCTGTCTTGTCTAGTCTTGCCACATATCCACCTTAGCATCCTCATCTCAGCCACACTCATCTTATCTACATGTTGTTTCTTGGTTGCCTAACACTCTGTCCCATACAACATCGTTGGTCTAATAGCCATTCTATAAAATTTACCTTTTAGCCTAGTGGGTATTCGTTTATCGCACAGTACCCCAGATGCACTTCTCCACTTATACCATCCCGCCTTAATCCTATGGGCCACATCCGCATCAATCTCCCTCGCGGTTGGGATAATCGACCCTAAATAACGAAAATGTTTACTCTTAGGCAATTCTTGGTTCTCAATCTTCATTTCTCCTCTACTTTTATTGTTAATGTTACTAAATTTACACTCTATGTACTCTGTCTTATTTCTGTTTATCCGAAAACCTTTAGATTCAGGAGTTTTTCTTCAGATCTCCAATTTTTTATTAACTCATTCTCTGGTCTCATCCACTAGTACAATATCGTTTGCAAAAAGCATACACCATGGCACGTCATCTTGAATATTTCTCGTCAACTCATCCATAACTAAAGCAAAAAGATAAGGGCGTAAGGTAGATCCTTGGTGTAATCCAACAGTGATAGAAAATTCATTTGTCTCTCTAGCAGGCAATCTAATAGTGGTCACAACCGCTTCATACATGTCCCTAATCACATCAATATAACCTTTTGTCACCCCTTTCTTCTCTAACACCCATCATATTATATCTCGGGGCACTCTATCTTATGCTTTCTCAAGGTCGATAAACATCATATGAATGTCTCTTTTCTTTTCTCTATACTTTTCTCTTACTCTCCTTAAAAGATAAATCGCTTCCATTGTTGACCTACCGGGCATAAACCCAAAAAAAAGTGGATCACTTAAAAAAAAAAAAAAATTGTAATAACATGTTTTGTAAACACATTTTATAAAAATAAAAACGCGGTTACAAAACCACTTTACGTATACAAAATATTTTTTGAAAATAAAAAATATATATTTTTTTGTGTGGTTTATAATTTCTGTAAAAGCGTCTTTACTAGACCCGCTTTTGCTTAATTAGGTTCTTAAACATAAGCGTCTTTACAAAACCTGCTTTTGATTAATTATGTCATGACCCAAACTTGCCCCTAAGAGTTTGGACATGACCGGCCTGTACTTAGGCCTCAAAACCAAATGATCAATAAATATTTTATAAAATACCAGGGCCTAAAACGGAAGCAATTATAATAGCCAAATAAAACGCCTATTGAGCAGTGTTTAAATGCTAGGATCACAAAATATTTTTCATTACATGACCATATTATATACAAAGACCACATATATAGGTACAACCCAATTCATGGAGATATAGCCAAAACGTTGAGGATTCAAAAGTTATACATAGTAACAGAACGCCTAACAAAAACACCAGTGACCCAACAATGTGTGCGATGCAAGAGGATTCCACGAAAGGCAAAAGGCTTCATTTTAACCGGCTTGACACGACAAGGTCAACAAAAGGCTTCTGCAGCTGAACTAGGGTTGGCCCTCGGGTTCATTACCTACATAAGTATACATGAATATAGAGTGAGCAAGGCTCAGTGAATAATAGCAATGTAAGGAGGTTTATATGAATGAGCATAAATCTTGTAGTGCACAATTATAAGTCATAAGTCGATCTTACTCATACTCTTATTTCTAAACGACCTTGGGCCCACATAAGACAAAACGGCCTTAGGCCCAACACAATACAAAACGGCCTTGGGCCCATTACACGAACAGCTATTTGGAACATTATAGGGTAGGTGGAATATCGGCATGTCTCCATCTCCCTCGGCTTGAAGTCATGAGTCATAAACAATCCATATACTTACAGGGTAGATGGAACATCAACTTGTCTCCATCGCCCTCGGCCTTAAGGCCATGAATCACAAGTAATCCATATCATAACGGCTTAGGCCCATTCTTCACAATTAAAGCGGAACGACCTTAGGTCCATGTCACATATATTATTGTTCAATCATTCCCGTTATTCCAATCAAAACATAGTTGATATAACATGTATCATTCACAAGTAGCAATAGAAGAGTCGTAATCACAATATATAAATGGAACATATCATTACACTATTATTATTCACAGTGATGTGGATGAACAATAGTCCCTTCCAGTACGTGACCTACACATAATACACAACTCGTAAGTAAGTCACTTTTCATTAGCCTTTTTCCTTATTCAATGTCTGGTGCGTTCAATTTGTATTCAATTGTAAGCATGTCGGAGGGATCAAATGTACACATTAATAATTTTAGAAGTTCAAACAGAAGCAAAGAAGCTGACAAAAATTTTCTCCATTGGCCGCACGTGCGGAAGTCCCCCACTGCACGTGCGGGAAGGTGTGCTGCACGTATGGCTCCGCATGTGCTTTTATTTTAGAACCTCCAACTTTCCTCCCCTGTTTTCTGCACGTGCGGCTGTACATCCCGCACGTGCGGTTCTGGCTCTGTTTTGAGCAATCCGAAAATTTACAATTTCAGCCTTCTAAAGACAATTCAAAGCTCTAAATCAAGTAATTTAATTCCCCAAAACATAGTATATAAACATAATAAACATGATTCTCATACTCAAGTAAATCATAACTCTTTTTAATTGCATGATTACATCCCCAAATTGCTACATGCATTCCATTTCTTCATCTTTCCATGATATATCAACATATACACAAACATATATACATGTATGAGATCAAAGCATGCAAACACTAAAGATTAGAAGGTAGTTCCTCTCAAACTACACAACATAACTTAAAACTCAAGGATCAACTCTCAAATCAAACAATTACCATGAATCTTGATGGTTTGCATGAATATTTCCCCAACCATGGTCACTATTTCAAAACCCTAGCTTGGGTGAGTGGGAAAACTCCATTTTAAAGCTTGATGCTAAGCAATTAGAGAGAGAGAGAGTTGGGGTATTTAGTTGATTGACACATACCTTCAACTCTATTCTTCAAAACCCCATTCTAAGATCTTCAATCTCCAACCTTTGGTTGATCTCTTACTCCTCTCTCTTTCTTTTCTCTTCTTTTCTTTCTCTAGCGCTCTCCTAGGAGATAGTTTTATAAAATGTGAGTCTAAGTCTCTTCTTTAGGTTCATATATGTATTTAAGGCTTGAATTATGAGCCTAATATGGTTTATTTAAGTCTTGAGCCTAAATAATTCACTTTAATTCGTTACGAATCAAATTTTTACAAACTCATATTATGTCCTAAAAATCAAGCTGATCATAAATGTATAGTCAATTTCGGTTTATCGCGCCTCTACGGCTTTCAATTTCTAGTCCAAACGTCTCAATTTCAACAGATTTTCTCATAACCGACAGATATAATTTCATAATCATATAATTCACATTATTAAACACAATTTCACACGGAATTTCACATCAAGCATATAATTTCACATATAATTATAAACGTAAAGCATGTAAGAGGGTCGGGTTATTACAAATTAAGTTCTTAAACATTACTTAAAAACACGTTTCTTATGTTATATTTTTTATTATTATTTTAATCAACCTTGAAATTGAAAAAAACGTGTTTTGAACACACGTTTTGAAGAAAACGTATTTTCAAAACCCGCTTTACCCTATGTTGGGAATAAAGTTTCAAGAAGACCCTAGTCAAGGAAATGGGCCGTGGGAAGCTATGCTTCCATATAGCATTAGTTTGCCTTGAAATGTTTGCTCTGTTATCATAAAGCTTGATCTTACCTTCCTTTCTGGTATTTTCTTAGACTGTTGATGTTGCTGTTTTTATGCTGCAGACTATGCTTGCAAAGGCTGTTGCGACCGAGTGTAAGACTACATTTTTTAATATTTCTGCATCATCTGTTGTCAGCAAATGGCGTGGTATGTCATTGTTGAGCCCTTGTTCTAAAATTTTATAAAATTGCTAAATCCACAGCCCTCACTTGCACATTGGTGGGCTCCACCTTGTGAGAGAGGGGTTGTGGATACAATCTATACGAGCATAATAGCTCTGGCTTTATCAATTTTCAAATTATATTAATTGGATATTAGGTGGGTCATCAAACCTTGGTAAAATGTTTTATACTACTATATCTTATCATCTATATGCATATTCAGTTTGTTTTTATTTTTCTTTCTTTTTTTTTTAATTTTTTTTTTCTTTTTATGTTGGTTGTTTTAGATTTATTTTTTTATTTTTTATGCAGTTTTACCTTTGGAGTTCTATTACATAAATATGGTTAAGTTTTGTCAGTAAGTGGAAGGACAAACAATATTTAAAACAACAATTGATGGCTTGCATTGCATACCTTCATATATAGAAGTGTAGGACATTTCTAAATGGATTTTAGGTTCTTGTAATGTGAGATAGGCTCACAGGTATTGGAGAAGGAGATCAAGAGCTTGTGCTGTACATAATTTCTCATTTTTTATTCCATCAATTCAATATTTTTAAAGATGACCTTTTAAAGTTATAATTTTCCCGTAAAATCCTTTCAAGAAAAGGGCACCAATTTGGTTTATTTGTTTAATTTCAGTGCACAAGGTGATTCATGATATTTCTAAACAAATATGCTCCTTAGAATATCTAGCCAAAATTGCCTGCGAACTCTTCTATTTCACTTTGGTAAAATGAATGCAAATGAGTTTGACGTACCATGCCATTCAAAATAATGCTCCATATCAGCTAATCAATCTTTAGATACATTAGGACTTGATGGAAGGAGAGCTGTTGGGGTGAAAACCAAGGCAAAACAAAGTAGACAGAATGGAAGAATATCCTTCTAGCTGGGCAGCATCTTGCCTCACTCGTCACTCTTGAAATAATTCAAGGAATTGCTCTTGAATCCAGTCAATGATATTGTGAGTTAGGGCTAAGGAGGTGCTTCTATTTATAGGCACCCAGGCTCAGCTTGGAGACTAAGTAATGAACGTAGTGTCGGGACATGGTCTCTAGGACCCCATGGGAATATTCCTCTATCTAATTGTTCGGTTGAGACAAATGCAACCGTCTACTGTCTATGTAGTTTCCCTCGAGTATATTCCTCTCGGGTAGCCGAATGCTGAGAGGCCTGCAATTTGCCTCAACGATCCCTTACTTTAAGCCACCAAACCACATGACCTCCCAACATCCCTAGTGAGTGAGTAGAGCATTGTCTTGAGATTGACTACACTCCTACCGCGAGTTTGGGAGGACTACCCAAGCCTTGCCATTTTGACATTGGGGAAAGTTTATTCTTTTGAGGGGTTTGCCTCATGCCATTTGATCATGGACTTTTTGTAAGACTACTTGTAAGGTTCTTTGCCGGATCGCAAAGATTGACCAAGGTTTGCCAGAGGATTCCTTGGTCTTCATACTTTAGAGCTGCCTTGCCTTATATAGCCTTTCCTGGGTTGTTGATGGCGTTTTACTGCTTGAGGAGTTTGTGTTCTCCAAGGTTTATACAACGGTTCCCCTTTTCATCGAGCTTCACCTTGGGCTCATTGTCTTAGAGCACTTTGTCTTACTCATTTGTCATGTCATTTTGAGCTAGTGTTTTCTGAGGGAAATGGATTGCTTTAAGGATTTCGCATTTCTTGTGGTTCTTTTCTCCCTTCCTTTCGACATTTGGCAGTCAAGTTTGAATTTCAAACTTAGGGTTTTCCCCCTCTTACATGGTCTTATCACTTTAGAGACCCACTGTACATCACATTCACTCTATCTCTATCCTCTTTTCAGCTGTATAGGTCAGAGTCCCACAGAGCCTTTCTTCTGTCTGTCTGTCTCTCTCTTTCTCTGCATTTGAATCTGTGTCTCTCCTCCCTCTTCAGTCTGTATATCACTCTCATTCAATTTTAGTTCTTTATCTTTAAATGCAAACAGTCCCTTTCCAGGTTTTCAAGGCTCAATGAGGGTTTTTGAGGGATTCTCTAGTGCTTATCTCAATTTTCAGTATTTTTTTTTTTTTTTTTTTTTTTTTTTTTTTTTTTTAAATTTGAGCTAATATTGCTTTCTTCATCAGCTTGCATTCCAAGAGGGGGCCTGAGTTTTAGAGCCAATTAAAATGGGATGTCAACAATCTTGCATTACCCTGCTATAATTTGTAGGTTGGTCATGTATTTCTACCAGGATGGTTGGAAACAAAGTTAGCCTCCTGGACATTTGAATAAACATCATTCACAAGTGTCTAGAGTCTGGCATCACCCCTGCTATAATTTGTAGGTTGGTCATGTTTTTCTACCAGGATGGTTGGAAACAAAGTTAGCCTCCAGGACATTTGAATAAACATCATCCCCTACCACTGCCACAGCTACTACAATTATAATTGATGTGCTGGTCCTGGTGGGTTAAGTTATTACAAGGTTGTTGAAAACAAATTTAAACTGTTCTATGATAGTTTTTCCTTATCTGATATGCTTTTCTGGGAAAACATGTTTCAGATTTTAAGTTGTATGGCATTACAGGTGATTCGGAGAAGTTAGTGAAAGTTTTGTTTGAGCTTGCTAGACATCATGCACCTTCAACTATATTTCTGGATGAAATTGATGCCATCATTAGTCAACGTGGTGAAGGACGCAGTGAGCATGAAGCAAGTAGGCGTTTGAAAACTGAACTATTAATTCAGGTGATTTTTTTATGCTAGTAAGATCAATATTTTCCAAAATGCCTGTGTATTTGTCTATTTTTATAAATATGTTTGTTAGACTATAAAATTTAGATGCAAAATCCTGTCTAAAGGATCATTTTCTTTTTACTTACTATTGCTATTTTGGCTACCAAAACTCAAGTTTTGGGTTTAAACATAATTATGATAATATGAATGCTGCTTCAGAAAAGGCGTTCAGCTAAATCTTTTTCCTATTGTTGGTAATCTGAATTCAAGTACAATTTCAGTTCTTTTTTCTCAAAAGTTAATGTGTCAGACTAGATTGCAGATGGATGGTTTGACGCAGGCAGATGAACTTGTTTTTGTCCTGGCAGCAACAAATCTCCCCTGGGAACTGGATGCAGCCATGCTCCGGCGTTTTGAGAAATGGGTATGCTTTTGATAGGCTATTATATTTCTTTTTGTATAAAAGGATTATGATGAGAACTTCTTTTTTCAATCAAATGGCAATTGACTTGGTGGTTTTTAAAGCGAGCTACTCATATATGGAAACTTCCAAAATTTGTCTGAGTAAAATAATACTCTTTGGCCATGTTTGATTGCTGAATTTTTTTTGATGGGATTGTTGATAGATTGTGGGATGGGATGAAGGATTGGATATATGATAGGATTATGAATAACATTATGGGAGATAAGTTATTTCATGAGATAATTGATGGGATAAATGATTTGTAGAAATTTAATGTATAAAGAGAAATAGAGAATTGTATTATTGATTGATTTATATTAATATCTATTACAATGATTCATGATTCCTATATATAGAAGAGGGTGAGTGTGTAGTAGGTAAGGAGTAGGTGAAGTGGAGGTGGTAGTGGTGTAGTGGGTTAGGTGGATATATGATAGGATTGTGAATAACATTATGGGAGATAAGTTATTTCATGAGATAATTGATGGGATAAATGATTGGATATAAGGAGTGAGGTATTATATTTGCTTAGGATAAAAATGAAAAGATATAATTATTTTGATTGTTGGATGAAGAAAAAAAATCCAAAGACGCCTAATCCTTCTAATACCACACTACCTATGGTATCATTTAATCTCCCCATTTTCCTCTTTTTAATCTTCCATACTCGTACTAAAATTATCCATAGTTTGGACCGTGCAAAACAAACACCGGATTACTGGACTAACAATTTGGTGGGTCCCACATGTTTCCTCCACCGTCATTCCCACCACTAGTGAGACAATTAGATGTGCCCTTCTTGTTGTTGCCAAGACACAAATTTGGCAATGGTTTGTGAGACTTTTTATTGTCTGGATCAATAAGGATTGCATGTGCTCACTAGCAAAGCTAGATGGAGCCCAAATTGAGCAGCTTTCCCCCTCAAGTTTATATAAATTTTTATGCTTTTGAATAATTGTTACAATTTGCTGCCTCTTGAATTTTATACGTACCTTGTAAATCTTTAAAACCATCTCAAATTGGGTCAGTGATGGATTTGTAGGTTTTGATGTAAACCTAATTGGTTACTTCCAATTATGTAAACCAATAGTTCAAGCCACATTACAACATATAAGAGTTTTAGAGACCAAGGTTGCATTTGGTAGAGTTTTGTAAATATGATTTGTATAAGAAATAATGTATAGAGAAAGAGAGAGAATAAATTGTATGTGTTTAAGTGGGTGAAGTAGGTGGAGAGTAGGTGGATTTTAACAATTTGAGAGTATGAGTTGTATTTTGAGTTTGTGAGGTTTGGAATTATGATTTGAGTGTGGAAAATTTGTTTGGTAAAGAGTTTTGAAAAGAGTTTTGAATTGAGTGGGGAATTGTTGATGTGACATTTGATATTGGATACAAAAAGTTACAACTCAACCAAACATACAACTCAAAATTATTTTAAAGCACATAATTTTTTTTTTAAAATTTAGAAAATGTTTTTTTCGAATATATAAAAATTACCATATCAATTGCCAAAAAAAAAAATAAATAAATAGATTCACTATTCCGGTTAACTAGTGGGACGACCGGTTAGGCAAAATTTGCAAAAAAAAAATTCCGAAAATCGCGTCTGTCTCAGAGTTCTCTGCAGAGTTTTGGAAACGTGAACTCGTTCCAAACATCATTTGCAAATGCAAGTGTAGAATCATGTTTTAAAAACACAACCACACTGAGCCCAAGTTTTTTTGTCTCTAAAAATATAAATTTTGTTGCAACAAATATTCAGGGACTAATTTAAGTTGTCGCGAGGACAATCATTAAAAGGTTATCCCAAAAAGTAAAGAAAGGAGCTTTTAAGGACAATTTTAAAAATGCCGTTGATAAATGCACTTTTTGGGACAAAATAACTTGGCCCCGAAAAGGTTTATTTTTTAGACAATGTTTGGTCTCCAAAAGTTAGTAATTCATCACTAAATGTCCACTTTTTTTGCTATAAATAAAATATTAACACTTTTGGCGACAAAAATATTTTATTTCTTTTAAGGGTAGGGCATTTCCCATTTTTAGGAATTTCTGTATAAAAAAACAATAGTATCTCCAACTATAGCTCTTCTGGGACGTAAAATATATCTCTTCTCACCATGCCTATTGTGTATAAGATAATTTTTTTGTGTCTTTTTTTTTTTCACAGATCATTGCAATATATATTTATAACATTACCACTCAGCTTAAAGCTCTCTCATTTTGCCTTTTTTTTTACAGCCTAAACCCCTATGTTCTCTATTTTTATGTGGTGAATTATGGTAAAAATTGAATCACTAAGGAGATGTTTTGAATGTTCTAAATAAGTACACTTTTTGACTTTTTATAAACAAATGTATAGAAAAGTAGAGAGGAGATGTTGATAAATATTGATTGATGTGACCTAAATAAATGTATGTATGCAAAAAAGTACACTTTTTTAGTGCATACCAAACAAGCACTAAAGTTGCCTAGATTATACTTGGCCTTAAATACCCTCTTGATGCAACTGTGAGAATAATATTATATATTATTATTTGAATATTTTAGATTGTGTGAATATTTTGATTTAGTTTTATTCTTGTTTCCTATTTAAAATTAGGCTTAGAATTGCTATATATAATATCTATATATATATATCAGATGTAAACATTGTATTGATTCAAAATTGAACATACAGGTTATTCAGAAATTTTACATCGTATCAGAGCCACCATTGGAACCCTAGAAATCGTTTTCCTCTTCAGTCTCTGTGTGGGTCATAGGTCATCTTCTCTCTCGATCGAATCTGGTTTCTTGAAGTTTTGCTGGGTTTTCGTGATACTTGAGTCGTAGTTCGTAGAGCACAAGAATCGCGATTCGTGTTTCGCAAAATTAGGAGCTCTTTGGTTGATTGAATTTCTCTTAGCTCTTGCGTGGCCTTTGTTCGAGTTCTCTCCTTGGTTCAATCACTGTTGTTCTTTGGTTCAAAACCCTAGAGTTCACCATTGTTCTCTAATTTGGCACATTCTCTCTCGGATTCTCTGGTCGTCTTTAATTTGGGTGGGTGACCCACTATGAAGCACGGGTGCGGGTATGGGTATGGGTATGGGTATGGGTATGGGTATGGGTATGGGTGCGATACGGGTAAGCCGATACTGCAAATTCTTTAAAAAATAGGGTTAGGGTACGGGTACGGATATGACTGGGATACGTCAATTTTCAAATTTTTTTTTTCTTTTAAATTTATAGCTAAACATACAACATACAAATCAAAGTTTCAATATCAAAACTAAAAGGGTAAATTACACTTTGCACCCCTGCACTTTACATCAAATCCCACTTTGGCCCCTACACATCAAATTGTGACACTTAACCCCTTGCACTTTTGGTCAAGTGTTACTTTGGCCCTTCTGTTAGCCTCATTGTTAACAGATGTTAGTCACATGAAAAACATGTGAGGATAAATTGCACTTTGCACCCCTGCACTTTACACAAAATCCTATTTTAGTCCCTACGCATCAAAATTGTGACACTTACCTCCCTAAAGGATAACTTCTGTCAGCCTCACTATTATCAGAAGGGCCAATGTAACACTTGACCAAAAGTGCAGGGGGTTAAGTGTCACAATTTGATGTGTAGGGACTAAAGTGAGATTTTGTTTTAAGTGTAAAAAAGTTATATAATTATTTATTTTTCTTTTTTGATTGTCTAAAATATGATTGAAAAGAGAGCAAAATCATGACTCATGGGTAAAGGGTGTTGGAAATAAATTACTTGATATTTTTAAAATTGAAAGAAGAATAATAAAGGCTATAATAAATTCTGGCAGCTGCAAAAAAAAAAAAAAACCCTCGTCGTAACGGTGCTGTACCCATGTTGTACCTACAACGTACCCAAATGTATTTGCCATACTCGGCGTGTATTCGATGTACTCGGGTACGCGTACTTCCATACTAGTATGTGTACACACACATGGGTACCCACGACGTACCCAAATGTATTTGTCATACTCGGCGTGTATTCGATGTATTCGGTACGCGTACCACCGTACTAGTATGCGCATCCGCACCCGCACCCTCACCCAGTCAGTATCTGGTGCTCATATGACATAATTTTTGAAGCACCTGTGCTTCATAGGTGACCCATCTATTCTCGATTTGGAGTCGTGTTTGCTAGTCGTCTTCTTAGTGCTTCGACTCTATATCTTCTCTCTGGTTTTCTATTTTCTTCATCTGGTCCATTGGTTGCTGGCCCCTCCTTTGGTTCATCACGACCCATTTGAGCTCCAGTCGTGATCTATCTGGTTCGCAACTCCTCTCGTTGGATCGTGACCATCAGGCACAACCTCCATTGACTTCGGCTTCAAGTTCTCTTGGCTTCATTCTCTCGCTCTCCTATTTGGTTCTCTTAGCTTCAAAACTGGTTAATGTTTCTAGGTCTTCGGTTTAAAATTTGATTATTGTATTTTGACCCCAATTCGTTATTATATTTTACATTTAGACCCAACACTCTTCTAGTTATTACACTTTGATCACATCAGTATAAGTTTTGTGGTTCTTTGGTTTTGGTATTTTTGGGTATATTACGTTTTGACCCATTAGTGTGTAGTTTCTTACATTTGGTCCATCAGTTCTTCTTTCAGTTTTTTGGTTCATTACAATGTCGAATGATAAGATTGCTAGGCCCTAAAATAGGTCACTGGCTTCAGATGAGTGTGTTTTCTGTCATCAGAAGAGCCATTGGAAATATCACTGTCCCAATAAAGGACATCTGTCGTGCTCCTCCTCCAAGTATTTTTCGGTCTCCCGCCGCTTATATTGTATCTGCATCGTTTCCTGATCCTGACTTGGCTTCCTTTGAGTGCTCAAATTAGTCAACTTCAGCATATACTGTCTACCTTCTAGCCATCTCGGTCTATATCCGTTGTTTCATCTCTTTATTCAGATTTGCTTTGGTCTTCTTCAGGTATCTCTTCGTTTGTCTGGCTTTTTGACTCTGGTTCCTCTCATCATATGACTCATCATCTCTTCTTACTTTAGAATCGTACTCCTCATCTCTTTCCTATTACTATTAATGTTGCTAATGAGTCTGGTATGTCTATTATATCTGTTGGGTCTGTGTTACCATCTGTTATGTCTGTTGTCTCTATTCTCTTTGTCTTATATGTTCCTCAGTTATCTACTAATTTATTATCTATAAGTAAGCTGCCTCTAATTTTGATGTTATATTTTCTTCTTCTATCTATTCTGTGCAGGATTGTATATCCAAGCAGCAGATTGGGACCGATCGTAGAGTTAAAAACCTCTATGTGGTGGAGAGCTTGCATCTACTTATGACTGACTACCTCTTCGACTGTCTTTTCCTCTTTTCAATTAGACTCTCTGTCAAGTCCTTTCTATTTGTGGCGTTCCAGATTATGGCATTTGTCTACGAACTGCTTATGGTTTTTAGCTTAGTCAAGTATATTCGGGTAAGTTTCTCCTAGTCAACTTACCGAGTGTCGGGGGTGTAAACTTGCTAAAATGATAGCCTTACCTTTTCATAGAAGTATTTATATATCAGATACATCATTTTCTTTAGTTTATAATGATGTTTGGGGTCTTTCTTCTGTTCTTACCAAAGGAGGTTCTGCATACTATGTGTTATTTGTTGATAACTGCATCCGTTACACCTGGATTTATCTTATGACTCATAAGTCTGACTTCTGCCAGATCAGTCTATGATCACTACATAGTTTGGGTCTACTATTAAGGTCAAGTTTGGCATACTTAAAAAAAGACAAAAAGTCAAAAAGTCACTATTCTATTTAAGTCACATCATCTTATTTAAGTCACATCACCTCTCTAACACATCACTTCAAACCCAACCCAAACCCAACCCATATTTCATAAAAAGTCAAAAAGTGCACTTATTTAGATCATCCCAAACAACCCCTTACGGTTTGACTTGGGTGGGAAATATTTTAAAATTGAGTTTTGCGAGTATTTGGCCAATTTAGGTATCATTCACTAAGCTTCATGTACTGATACTTCTGCCCAAAATGGTCGAGCTGAGCGTAAACACCGTCATCTCTTTGAGATAGCTAGGTCTCTTCTTCTCTTTGCCTCTGTTCCTGTTCCGTTTTGGGGTGAGGCAGTTCTTACTACTACTTTTCTTCTCAACCGTATGCCTACTTCTCTTCTCTCTGGTCGTTCTCTGTATGAGACTCTGTTTTCTCAACTTCCTAATTACTCCCTCCTTCGTGTGTTTGGGTTTGCTTGTTTTGTCCTTTTACCCTATAAAGATAGGACTAAACTTAGTGCCCAGTTTGTCTTGTGTGTCTTTTTGAGTTACAATCTCACTTAAAAAGGTTGTTGCTGTTATGACCCTGTTTTCTTCGCCTTTATGTCTCCCGTCATGTTGCCTTTCTTGAACGTCTACCTTACTTTCCGCTTCCTCCTCTCATAGTCCCAGTTTACAAAGAGGATTTGGTTCATATTGGTCCAATTCCTTTTGAGGTCCCTCCTGATGAGTACATCTTTGCTATTTCCCATGAGCTTGTTCCCTCTTCACCTCGTACCACCTCTCCTGGTGCGTCCCTCTCCATTGACCCCCATGAGTTTATTCCCTTCTCTTCTCCTCCTCTGCCACCTGCGCCTTCTCCTCCTTTGTTAGTTTATTCTTGTCGCAAGGTTGTCCCTCCACTAGTTGTCTCTGCCCCTGTTGTTGATCCTCCTGCTTTTGACGATTTTGATCTTGCTAACCGTAAGTATCCCCTTTGCATCTATAAAGAGGTAGTCAAACTTGATTTTGCTAACATATGTTTTTCTCCTTCATACTGTACGTTTTTGTCTGCTATTCAATCTTTTTTAGAACCTTAGTCTTACAAGGAGCCCTGTCAGGCTCCTCATTGGATTTGCGCTATGGAGGATGAGTTGTCTGTTTTCCAGAAAACTAGTACTTGGGAGTTGGTTCCTTTGTCTGCTGGTAAGAATCTAATTGGTTGTAAATGGGTCTACAAAGTCAAGACTTATTCTGATGGTTCTCTTGAGTGCTACAAAGCTCGCCTAGTTGCCAAAGGTTTCTCACAAGAGTATGGTACTGATTATGAGGAGACATTTGCCCCTGTTGTTAAAATGACTATTGTCTGTACTTTGATCTCTGTTGCTGCTGTTTGTCGTTGGCCTCTTTATCAGATGGATGTTAAGAATGCTTTTCTTAATGGTCATCTCACTGAGAAGGTTTACATGCGTCCTCCCTTTAGCTTTCACCACTCTTCTAGTTCGGCATACTCTGCATGGTTTGAAGCAATCTTCTCGTGCTTGGGATGATCACTTTCAGACTGCTGTTATTAAGCTCGGGTTTCATCTTTGTGCCTAAGACTCTGCTTTGCTTCTTCTCCACACTTTTGTTGGATTTGTTGTCTTATTATTGTATGTGGATGATAGGATTATCACTGGCTCTAACTCTTTTGCGTTCTCTAAGGTCAAGTAGCATCTCTTCCAGACCGTTGAAATGAAGGATTTGGGCCAATTGCGGTATTTTCTTGGTATTAAGGTGGCTTCTTCTCCTAAGGGCTATTTTTTGTCACAAGCCAAGTATGCCAATGAGGTTATTCACCGTGCCAGTCTTACTGACACTAAGGTTTCTGATACTCTCATTGAGCTTAATGTGAAACCGAACACTACTAATGGTGTCCCTTTGGATGATCTTACTTTATATCGAGAGCTTGTGAGTTACTTAGTCTATCTGACGGTTACTCGTCCTGGTCTTGCCTATGTTGTTAATGTGATTAGCCAGTTTGTTTTTGCTCCTCGATCTACACATTAGGTTACTTTGTTTCGGATTCTTTGCTATCTTCATGGTACTATCTTCTAGGGCCTGCTATTGTCTTCTACTTCTTCGTTGGATTTGGTGGTCTATGCTCATGCTGATTGGGCTGGTGATATTAATGATCTTAAGTCCACTTCTGGTGTTTGTATGTTTCTTGGTGGTTCCTTGATTTTTTGAAAAAACAAGAAACAAATTATTGTTGCTTGTTTTACTGCCGAAGCTGAGTGCCGTGCTATGGCTAATGTTACTGTTGAAGTTGCCTGGCTTTGTTGTCTCCTAACTGACTTGGGCATCCCTCAGTCCTCTCCGACCTCTTTACTGTGACAACAGAAGTGCTATTCAGATTGTTCATAACACTATCTTTCATGAACGGACAAAGCATATTGAGATTGATTGTCACTTTGTCCGTCAGCATCTGCAGTTTGGCTCTATCTCACTTCCTTTTGTCTCTTCGGCTCTGCAACTTGTTGATTTCTTTATCATGACTCACACCACTGCTCGGTTTCAATTTCTTCTTGGTAAACTCTCTCAGTGTTTTCTGCTAAAACAGCTTAAGTTTGAGTGGTGGTGTGAGAATAATATTAGCATATATTATTATGTGAATATTTTAGATTAATTAGATTGTGTAAATATTTTGGTTTAGTTTTATTCTTGTCTCCTATTTAGGACTGGACCTAGAATTGCTATATATATATATATATATCAGATGTACACATTGTTTGATTCACAATTGAATATTCAGATTATTCAGAAATCTTACAGCAACTTGAGGCTAATAACAATAATTGCAGCATAAGAACAAAAATAGTTATTAGTAATCTGAGAATATTAAGCCACATTGAGGTTGTATTTCATTTGGGATACAAGGTCTACTTATGATTCTAATACTTTTTCCTTCATAGACCAGAAAGCTTGGTAATTTGTTCTGAACACCGATAATCCTTTAAGAGTTTGGTATGTATCTTATACATTAGTTTTGGGATTCCTCAAAGAGGTTCATTATGCACTTTTGTTTCATTTATAGGCATACAAACATCAGTCAATATATATATGGATACTATGATTTTATAGTCATGTATTACTTCTATGCTCTATTATTAAAATCTTACGATTTGCTATTCAATTCACAATTTATCATTAGATTGATCCATGGGTGAATGTATTTTGGGATGGAATTTATTGTGAAACGCATGATTTACAACCGATTCATGATTCAATTCACTTTTTCTAATTCATGCAATTCTTGAAACTACCTTGTCCAACATATTGTGACTTTTTTTTTTTTATTATTTTTTATTTTTTTATATTATATATATAGTGAAAATGACATAATGCAATTTCTAAAAATGTTTAGCATGAAAATAATTTGTTTTTATTTTGATGATAAACTTTTTAATAGGATCCAATCAAATCCCGTTACACCCAACATATTCTTATTTTATTTTATTTTTCCCCCTTCAAACAAATGTTATAATAGACATCTTCTAAAAGATGCTTAAGGTTAAAGTAACTTGTACTCAAGAATTATTTATCACTATGTTGTCCTAGTAATGACAATCCAATACCGGGGGTGAATTGGGGTTTTCAAATATTTAAGCAATAAAGAAAACTAATTCAGTTTGAACTAACTCAAAGATGAAGCATATATAAAATTGAGTAAGCGAACTATAAATGATGAATATGGAACGCAAACAATCACAAAGGAAAATATAAGTAGAGGTAAGGGAAAACGACAAGAGATATCAACACCACAATTTATAGTTGTTCGGCTCAACCCAAACCTGAATCCACTCACCAAGTATCCTTCTCAAAAATTTCTCCACTATCTTCGAGTGTTACAACCCCTAGTGTTACAGGTGCGAGTAAACCTTTATAAAAAGTGATCAACCCCTGATCATTTCAACTAGTTACGAGTTCGGTGCCTAGTTACACCTAACCCAAGTGATTTTGTCCCAAAACCACTCACGAAAAGTCACTCTCGCAAGAGTGAAAGAAGGGAGTGCAAACCCTTTTGCAATGAAAATTCAACTCTGAACAAATGTCTTACTCGAAAGTGTATATCCTAATGAAGATCTGGCATAATGCTTTTTTAGTATAACAGAGCGCTTTTCTTGAATATCACCGATGTATCTCTTCCTTTCAACCAAGGCTAGAATGTTTCTTCTATAGCTTAAAAAATCTGACAATTAGAGCTTCAAAAACTAGCTGTTAGAATTTATTTCTTTTGAAGACTTTCCAAACTCACAATCAATTCCTTTTTGCTGTATCTTCAATCAATCCCATAGTCTATGCTTTCCTTTACCATATATATATTCAATTTAAAAATCTGAGAAGATGAATCACACATTTGAATTTTGGCTTTTAGCTTCCTTCCATGAATTTCAACTCATTGAAATTGACTTAAAAAAATCTCTTTGCTTTCGCAAGCTTTCCTTGTAGAGAGAATCTTCTGTGTGTACCAAATCGCATCTTCAAAACTTTTCATTGTATTATAATTCAAAATCTTCACTCATAAATTGCATTCTTCAGTCATCAAGGAATTCTCACTTCGTAAGGAATGATCAATGACGAAGAATCATTGTTATTAGTGGAGATTTTCCATATGGAACACTATTTTAAATCATTCTCCATAATTTCATTTCTTGACTTCTTTATCCTTGATCAAATTCAGAGTCTTTGAAAATCCTTGATGTCCAATTTTTGTATGAGCAATCTTCTCAGCAGAATACTTCGAGTTGACTCTGTTTGTGTTGAGCTGACTCTAAAATTTTGTGACTTTCCTCTGCAATATTGTAAGCTTGGAGTTGGCTTGATGTAGATTGAGTTGACCCCATGGGATTGAGTTATCCCACTTATGGGGGATTATTAGTCCGGCCTTCACTTTTTCAATAAAACGTTGGACTATCGATTCTGTTGGACATGGAATCCAACCCCATGGCCTAATCCCACCAAATGAATACCCACTTTGAGCTTGCTCCTCTTTGATCATGGGCGGACTCAAATCTTGAGAATATTATACCCAGTCAATTCTATGTGCCAAGCAAACTCTAATCAATTTCAAATTCAATTAATCTGAGAATTATTCATTCACGGCTTATCATAAACACAATCATCTATGCTTTGTTATCATCGAATTCTATTTTGTAATCCTTTAAAACCTTGTGTCTAACACTATTTTAGTGAAATAAATATGGTTAAATATTGCATGGGTCAGGTATCCAATGGTTCTACAATTGTTTTTCTTTTTGAACTTGTTTTGAACAAAAAGTGTACGCATTTTTTAACATGTTTTAGGTTTGAAATAAATGATTATATTTAATTATTTATTTTATTGTATTCTATATAGGGTTCTTAGGTCCGTTTTTTAATGTCATGAGAGATTATGTAATGATTTTTGAATAATTTTATGGATGGTGGGATTTTGACCCACATCTCTTGCTATGAAGGTAACGTCTTCCCAACTATACTATGCGATTATGTCCTTACATTAGAACTATTTTATAGCATATGTCAAAATCAATTTATTTTATTCCGTTTCATATATATGATTGTTTAACATCTTATTTTCTTTATTGATTTATTAGTTTTTCTAATATATATATATATTTTATAGTTTGTAATGATCTTAATGATTCTCTATTCGATTCAATTCATGATTCACAAAATTAGGATTTGGCTCCACCACTGCTTTTGCTTTTGTTGCAGAAAATTTTTAAAAACTCAGGTTTATTGGCATGCATACAGTGCGAGTTAATTCACTATCGGTCAGAATATTTAATGGCTAAAGATTTGTATCCCGTTCGCAGCCAAAAAAAAAAAGATTTGTGTCCTGATGACAGTGACAGTGGGAATGAGAAAATTGTTTTTTTTTTTTTTTTTTTTTTTTATGGAACTTGGAAAACACAATTAAAGTCGAGTTTACATTACATCTTGATATGTTGTTCTTTAACTGTGATGTAAGATTCTTGTTCCTCTTCCGGAACCAGAAGCAAGAAGAGCCATGTTTGAAGAACTATTGCCATTGCCACCTGAGGAAAAACTTCCATGTGATCTGCTGGTGGAAAGGACAGAAGGCTATTCAGGTTCAGACATAAGGTTGGTGTGCAAAGAGGCTGCCATGCAGCCACTGAGACGGTTAATTGCTGTTCTTGAAGAAAAACAAGAAGCAGTGCCTGAGGATGGTATGTGACTTTATCAATCACATACATACAATTCACAAATTCTTAGAAATACTTCTTCTTTGGAAGCGGTGGATGGGATGAACTACATCAATTTCACGAGGGATGAAACAGAAAGGAAAAAACAACATGAAAACAGGGAAGCATAAGTTATTTATTTATATATGCACACATTAAATTATTAAAATCCTTAGATATTTGCTGAGTCATTTCACTTCTTTGTTGCTCAAAGTCTTGCTCAAAGTCTTGGTCAAAGTCCAATTGGAGAAAGCATTGCTATGCTTTTTTTTTCTTTTTTCCTTTTCCTCTTTTAAGTGTGTGGGAGGTGGGTTTAAATGGGAAGATAATTTTCTGCCTGGCTAAATTATTGATTTTACAAAACACATGGTCTCAATGTCACCGAGTTCTTAATCCCAAGAGCCAGGAATTGTAGTAGAATAAAATCACTGGAGTTCACATGGTATTTAAAGAATCAACAGATTGATTTGGTCAATTAAACCTTGAAAGCAAAAATGTGATGAATTTTCTTGACTACTTAACCCTTGTTCTGTACTGAAAGTAATCATTGGTTGCAGAATTGCCGAAGGTTGGACCAATCAGACGCGAAGACATTGAGATGGCTTTGAAAAACACGAGGCCCTCTGCACATCTCCATGCTCACCGTTATGAGAAGTTCAATGCAGACTATGGCAGTCAAATGTTCCAATGAAGGCACACATTGGTATTGTTAACACCATAAATCTGCAATTTTTATTATTATTTATTATTTATATAATTGCAGGACACGTGGCATCCTCTTATTCATTTGGAAGTTAAAAGAAGTTATAGAGATAATGGAGAATATGAAGGACAAAGTGGATGAGTGGGAGGACAAAGTGGATGAGTGGAATGACACATGGCAAGACAAGAATGAAGATGGAAGAAATGGGTAGTTACTAAGTAGTTATTGCTGTATTTTTTCTTCTATAAATAGCCATTAATGGCTACATTGTAAAGGATCCAGAACTAAAATCAAAGACACTTGATTTCAATATTTCTTGTCATTTTCATTATCTTAGGAGTAGTTTAACATAGATTTATATTTCGAAGCATTTATTTTCAGCATTTCCATTTCGAAGCATTTTATGCACTTTCTTTTCGAAGCATAGGAGTAGAGGTAAGTAATTATTACTTTGATTGTTCACTCAATCATCTTTCTCCGTTCCCCATTCTTCTTTTAATTTTTCTTTTCTTTACACTTGGCAATCTTGAAGTCCTCTTCGTTGAGGCAAAAGAACCGTCAACACAATCGCTTGATAATTGGCTTGAATTTAATCTGTAAGGATTTTTCAATCCTTGCTGGCACGCTCGCATTTATGATATTTTCCTTCGTAGGAAAAATAAGCCAACATTTTAGCCAACAGGTATATCATTTAATTTGTCAAAATTCTTTCCAGTCTCTACTCATTCATCATTTTTAGGGGGCTGGCAAGAGGTCTTTATGGGAGCCCAAATGTTATTTCTAGTTGTGACTTTTTTCTGTACTCTTGAATTTGTGATTATAGCTTATTTTATATTTTTTATATTTAATTTTTTTTCCTCTTTTTATTATTATTTGAGATTTACAAGATACGGTTGTAGAAAGTTGGTTTGAGATGTCAATTCCTTTGTTATTGCTTTATTGGAAAAGCATCATTTTAACAGGAAAAAAATAAAATAAAATTCTTGAAACATTTTTTTATTTATTTATTTATTTTGGATAAGTAAGTCATATTATAATAAAAAAAGATAGATATACAATGAAATTCAATACACATCCTTCGTAGGGAGAACAAACATAAACAAAGAAATAAACTACTCTCTCAAAAGAAACAAAATAAGCCTATAGACGACAAACACACCAAACACAACAAAGGATTCAAAATTTCTCTCTAGCACTCTTCAAGTAATGAAGTTTCGCTTTGAGTTTTCTTTTGTTACCCTTCTTTGTAGTCTCCTCATTAGTGGGATCACTTGGAGATGAACCCCCTCTACTTTGTAGGCTCTTTGTTTGACACAACAACTCTTGATTTAATTCTCAATTTCCCAACTCTTCCATGTCACATGATTCAAGGGCATCAAAAACATTAGATGTTGATGGGGTGAAACGCTGCGCCTCTCCCTCTTTGTTTATAATTGTCGTTGAATCTTGCCTACGATCTCTCCCTTTTTTCTTCACCATTTCCCATTTAGTTGGAACTTGTATGTTAGTCTCCTTGACTCTCCACTCATATTTGGAAGATGGAGGGTTCAAGGTGTTTGGCTTCTGAGGACACAGATTAGTGGTATGACCAAAAGTCTTACAACTATCACACCTTTGAGGCTTTCATGGAATCTCAACTTGAATCTCATATGGGTTACCATAACCAGGATTTATTTTGAAAGACTCAGGGATCTCTTTATTTGCTGGCACTTCAATACATATTCTCACAAACGTAAGTCTGCTTCTCTTGAATGTAGGATAATCCAAATAAAGAGGAGCTCCCATGATGCTAGCAATGTAACCCAAACCTGCTTCAGGCCAAAGCTCCAAAGGAACATTATACAATTTCACCCACAACGGCACACTCGAAAACTCACACTTTGTTAGTTTTAATCTAGGTTGCCATTTTTTTAACAACAATCAATCTAGCTCCAACGTAATAGGGGCCATCTTCCAAAATTTTGTCTATAGCTTCTTCAATTTTTACTTTAAAAATAAAAAACTCATTATCAATGGAAACGTTACAGTCATTATCTGGTGTTTTTGACAAAGTGGTTAATGGAAACATCAATTTGTATTCATGCATTTCCGGTATTGATTTAATGGTAGTTTGTTTTGTCATATTTTGGCAATTAATAAGGAAGCTGTCATTATTAGCTTCTAGGGAGATTATTTCTATTGTGACCAGTTCAGTACTTCAGCTTTTTTCTGTTGTGGGCGAAAGAGCACTCTCTCTCTCTCTCTCTCTCTCTCTCATATTTTGATCAATAGCAGATGAAGATCAAAGATATAGTAAGTCTGAAAGACCAATTTTAATGATAGATTTTAACAATTGATAGTTTATAGGGACGGTTTTTACAGCTTTTGGGGGGTAATTATAGCTTATTTTGATCTGGGAGTATGGCCCCGTTTGGTAGAGCTGTGAGAAAGTGATTATAGGTTATAGCTTAACAGATTATAGTTTATAGCTGTGAGTATAAGCTAGTAACCTGTTTGGTGTAGTTGTGAGATTATAGATTTAAGCAGCAAAGTAGTGTTTGGTAAATAAGCTATAAAATAACTTTTTGCTGTGTAATTGTCATTTTTGCCCTTATGAACAAGAAATTTGTAATTTTTGTCATTTTCTTCACTTTAAATTTTTGAAAAAGTTATTTCATTAATGGAAGTTGATTAATTAGTACCTAATTTGGTACATTTCATTACCTCAAAAAAAATTTATTTATTTATTTATATTTTTTTTGTAATAATATTGAGTTGACAAGGAAACAAAAATGTCATTGTAATAAAAATACAGTAAATTACTATTAAGGCAAGAAAAATAAAATTTCATAGATATTTACAAAACTCCTAATTTCGTCTGCAAATTGACATATAAATATTATGTCTTCTCACTTTCATCTCGTTGTCATCACATGCAACATCATTTCCATGGCGTGCTTGTTGAGACGAAGATCCTTCCTCTTCATTAGACACATAATCCGTGAATCTATCATAAGAGTCAAATGCAATATCGCGGAACTTACTTCGTCGAATGAAATTATGAATTGCTATTGTTGTACAAACAAGTTTGACTTGGGTCGGCCACTTGTAGTTTGGTGTGATATCCTTTATCATCGGCCATCTTGCTTTCCAAACCCCGAACGTTCTTTCTATTACACTTCTAAGTGATGAATGTGCTTGGTTGAATTTTTCTTGTGCATTTTGGAGGGGTTGACCATGTTCAAATTGAGCTAGATGGTATCTCTCTCATTTGTAAGGTGCAAGATATCCTTTTATGTTTGGATAACCAGCATCTACTAAGTAAAATTCATCTATTTTAAAATTTCAAAATGAAATTAAAGTAAGCAATTATAAATGTAAAAATAAATATGAAGATGTGAGTGTGGTGCATCTATTGTAGCAATCAAATATAAAACAATTACCTCCTTGTGGTTTGGAAAATTAAAACTAGGATTCCTAATTTGTATCTAAGAAGATCCGAGTATTGTGTGCACCTTCTTCCCATCCTGGTAAGGAAAATGTGAAACACATATCAAAGTTACATGCGGCCATTATGTTTTGAGTCACATATCTCTTTCTACATATTAGACGAGCTTGCTTATCTAGAGATTTATATGTTTTGATGTGTGTTCTGTCAATTGCTCCAATACAATCCTATTACATAATAGTGAATAAAAATATTTTTAGCCATAGATTATTAGAAATATCCTACCAACATTAATTATATGTAACACCCAAGTTGCGCTTGTGGTTAATTATTTACCTTGAAATGAGGATAATATTTGCAGTTGCGTCGGATATATGGATGTACACCATTAGTCGGTTGAGGCCTTAGTTAATCAATGGACATCATTGTAACAACTTTTAACACCTTCTTGAAATATTTTGAAATAGTCTCGCCCGAATGTTGAAATCTTTCTTGGATATTTTTGTTTCGAATGTCACCGCCAACAATATACAAAATTATTGTAACCTGCTATTGAACCGAGACTTTTCATCCAGTTTCAAGGCCATACTTTGTCTGTAACAAATTACACAATTGATAAAATACCTCTTTTTTGATTCGAAAATTTTCAAATATTCTTGTCTGATTCCCTTTTTGTAATTCTACCATCCACATCCCTCCTGTTAAAAAAGATGTCCTACATGGTTTTTTTATCAAATGATTTGTTGCATTTGTCATTGCAACTGTAGCCGTCGTAGCTAAGAGCATATTATTATTTTGTTGGGTGTGCGATGTGCTGCCTTCATCTTCAGTATCTTCATCATCATGGTCATCATTCCATTGATCTTCATCACTGTTACTCATCTTTAAAATACCTACATATTTAAAGGTTTAGTTACTATTCAATTCAAACAAAAATAAGGTGAGACCACGAGGGGGCCATATTCCTTACGTGGCAGTACCATATTTACATATTATAACAAAACTTACATGTATTTATGTAATCACTGATCTTCCATTTATTGGACTAAACATATGGAGAATAGGAATATGCCTCTGTTTTTTTTTTAAAAAAAAAAAATTATAATAGTACTGCTTTTTCACAAAGAAAAGAGATATATATATATTTTAAAAAGTTTTAAATTAAATTAACAAAAAAAATTAATATAAAAGTTCTCTACCAAAATAAGATTTTATGCTTCAACAATGATAGAGACCACTAATTTTGGAGCTCTAAAAAGATCACTAATGACATGGCACTCAATGGAAAAAAAAAAAAATACAACACCCAGGCCAAAACATCAAATCATTCATGGCGGGGCTTACTACCACATCATTAGTGGTAGCACTAATTAGTGCTCTCACTTATTTTCCTTTATGCTTATGTATACCCAACAAGGTCCAAGGGCAGTGCAACTGGCCCAGAAAATGTTCTTTATTTATTTATCTACTTTGATTGAATCCTTTTTTAAACTTAAAAAAAAAAATTGAAAAATTATTATCTGATCATATTTAATAGACTTAAATACTTATATCTTATACATTTTTAAATACTTTTATTTATTTATATCTTATATCTTATACTTATTATCTAAGCATATTTATTTATCTTATACTTAAATACTTATCTTATCTACCTATATTTTTCTTTTCTTTTCTTTTTTAAGATGGAAAGCTATATTTGAAAAAAAAAACAAACAAATAGCTATATTTTTCTTAAACAAATTAAGAGAAGTGTGTAATTTACTTTAAAAAATAAGATTATAGCATTTACTAAATACTGTTAACAATAATTTTATCCTAAGGGCAAGAGTTAAACATCATTGTAAATACTAAAATGAAGAAATATGTAAATATCATTCAGATACCTGGAGAGATAAACGTCATTTAGATAAAGAAATATGTAAATACTAAAATGAAATGGGTGAAAGATTAAAATGTAAAGCAAACAAATTATACCTTCAACTTCAAAAAAATTATACCTTCAACTTCAAAAATTATACTTGGAGAGATTCAAATGTAAAGGAAAAAAATGTAAAGCACAAAAATTCACCATTCACCTACATATACATATATATAATCTTCACCATTCACCAACCATTCATTTTCAAGATTTCAATCAACCATTCAACAATTCAACTAACATTCAACAAGTCAACCATCCACCTACCATTCAACTGAAAAAATGTCACCTACCCACCAACCATTCAACCATTTAACTAACAAAGTCCAACATAATATTAATAAAATTCCAAATAATGAGTCCACAATTAAAAGTCCAACATAGTCAATATTAATGAAAGAAAAAATTAGGAAATTCAGAACAGCCCACAATTAGTAAAATAAAAAGTCCAACACAACAGTCCACAATTAATAATAAGAGTCTTAAGAACAACCGGGCAGTCCACAATTAGCCACGATAACCTATGGTGGTCATCTCCATCTCAATCTCCAACTTTAGAAACCTAAGCCGAACTTTATCCGTAGGAAGAGT